TTTACGTGTGTTAGTGCATCTTTATGTTTGTTAGTGCATCTTTATGTGTGTTAGTACATTTTCATTTGCGCTAGGACATGGTGCATAAAGCAAGCTCTGCATTCCCATGCTCATCCCATGCTCATCCTGAAGCCAGGTAAATGTCACAGCCCATCTATCACTGAGCAGTTTAGGAGGAAACCTTTTTCCCCCATATGCAATTAGTTCTTTCAATTGAGCAACCACAGGAGACATGAGAATATTGCAAGGGGAAGGAGACAGCTTCTTCACCGAGAGCAAGAACCCAATCCCATTGCAAAAGGAATGCCAGGCAGTGCCACCACCCCTGTCCCTTTCTTGGAGCCTGCAGAAACATTCACAAGGTGTCACCAGCATATTTCATTCTAGCAGCACAGATGGCCTCAAAAGCCCTATCCAGGCTATAAGCAGAAGGGGTTCTCAGCAAGCCAAGGTTTAGGAGTTACAGATTCCTGGAGAAAGTCGTGAATGTGGCCTCCAGGGGATGATGCTGGATCCACAGCTCCTTTGTGGTGCAGAAGGAGGCTCTTGCAGGAGGGTTGCGCTGCAGTGCCAGGTCTTTAATAGTGCAGTACGTGTAGGACGTCGCAGGGTACAACTCCACTTCCTTGATGGTGCAGAAAGTGGGGCGCTGCGGGGGACTAGTGAAGCTGCTGGGGTGCATCACAGGACCTTCTATGGATTCCATCCTCCCCAGCAGCGGGTATCGCATCTTCTGCACCTGCAGGGAAGACTGGTTCCAGGAGGGCCACCCCACAAGACGCAGCCACAACAGCCAACCCAGCAGAGCCAGCATGGAAAGGAGCAGCAGAACCAAGGCAGCCAGGTAGAGCACCCAGTGCAGCTGGCAGCAATGGCTCAGAACCCACCGGCCCCACTGCGGGCCCTCGACGACAGCCTGTGGACGCAGCACGGGTACAGCCGGTGCTGGCACGGAACAAGGGCAGAGCGGGACAGGCTGTTGGACGCGTGTGGTGGCCAGGTGAGCGGAAGGCACCATTGTGGTGCTGGAGATCACCAGCGCTGTTGGTGAGGAAGATGAAGATCTGATGGTGGCAGAGGTCTTTGACGTGGGAGTGGAAGGTGCCATGGTGAAGGTGGTGCCATATGTGCCAATGGACAAGGGGATATGGGTGCTGGCAGCAGCAGTGCTGAGAGCGGCTGGAGTGAGCATGGTGGTGCCAGGAGGTCCGGTGCTCATGGGGATGGCCAGCGAGGAGGTCGAGAGGAAGGTGCTGGGGCTTGCGGTGGTCCTGGGGACAGTGGCAGTACTGGCCGGCTGAGTGCGGGCGAGCGTGAAGGCAGTCTCAGCAGCTGGAGTGGTTGGCAAAGCCATGGGGGCTGTAGTCCAAGCGCTTGGAATAAGGATGGAGCCAGTGGAGCTGCTGAGGGGAGCCCTTGTGGTGGTGAAGGAAGGTTGGGTGATAGCAAAGGTGGTAGGCCACTGACCTTCAGGGGTGGTTGATTGCAGGTGGGAGGAGGACGTCTTGGGAGCTGCCTCATCAGTTACCTCCCCATAGCCATATTCATCCTCTTCTTCCTCATCGGCGTCCCCCACGTTGCCACAGTCAGGCTTGAAGTTCATGACGGGCTTCTGCTTGTGTTTGTCCGGGCTGTGGCACCGCACGCTCTCTGGGGCCACCTCAACCTCCGTCTTCTCCAGACCGCGCTCAGGCCGGTAGACGCTGATGTCGTTCTGCCGGATCCAGGCCCTCAGGTAGAGCAGGTTGCAGTCACAGTGCCAAGGGTTTTCAGTCAGGAAAACGTATGCAAAAAAGTGACCCTCAGGGAAGAAGTTTGAGGGCAGAGTCTGGAGGAGGTTGCCTGAGAGCCACAGGGTCTCCAGTTTCTGCAGGTCCTGCAGCAGTTCCTGGGGCAGCTCCTCGAGGTTATTGTCAGAGAGGTCCAACTCCTTGAGGGCCCTCAACCCTTCAAAGGCCTCCGGGGGGAGAGTCTTCAACAAATTGCCCCGCAGGTCCAGGTATTGCAGCTGCGGCGTGGCATGGAAAGCGCCCGGAGCCAGCACGCCCACACGGTTGTGAGCCAAGGCCAGATGGGTGAGGGCAGGCAGACCCTTCAAGGCGGGCAAGGTCTCCAGGGCGTTGCGGGACAGGGTGAGCTCCTTCAGGGACGGCAGCGGGGACTCTGCGTGCAGAGCCACCAGCCCGTTGTCGGACAAGTCGAGGTCCTGCAGCCCAGCGAAGGGCAGGAAGGCAGCGGTGGAGACGGACGCCAGGCGGTTGGCACTGAGCAGCAGGATGCCTGTGTCCTGGGGCAAGGCGGAGGGCACCGTGCTGAGACCCTTCCCAGTGCAGTTGACCTCAAGGAGGTCCTTGACGCTGTTCATCTCTGAGGGGCAGAGCTGAGCCCCAGCTGAGGACAGCAGGGCCAGGAGGACAACATGGACCAGGGCAGGGAGTTCCATGACCTGAGATGGGGAGACAAGACTCGTTTGCATGGAGGAGCACCAAGGGACAACGCACGACCGAGGAGGAAGCGCCACCAAGGTGGAAGCACCAAGGTGCTGCAATTCTCCTGTGACCGCATCCCCTGCCACCCTGGCACCTCCACCAGCTTCACCCCAAAGAGAAGGACATGCCCCCACCACCACCCATGTCCCAGCACGAATCCCCTTGGCTCCCTCCTTGCCTTCAGCGGTGGCTCAGCCCGGCGGCACCGTCCCAAGGGCTTTCCCTCTCCTGCTTCTTCACCGAAGGACACAGCGTCCTGCTGCTTCACCGGAGGACACAGCGCATCTCCGGGGGCAGCTGGCCCCGTATCAGCAGCTGCAGCCGCTGGGGAAGGAACCACAGTTTCCTGCGAGGCCAAAGCAGCCTCCACGCGCCGGTTCCACAACTCATTGCTGCAGCAGTGGGACAACGTGGGGAGGGGAGCCCTGGGAGTAGCCCTTGCATCATCACCCCATGAGGTTGTTTTATTTTTTTTTCATTTCAAACATAACTGGGGGAGAAGAGATAAAAATAAGCTAAAACATTTCATTCAATCCCAAATAATGCATTCTGTCCGGCCTTCAGTTTAGGTCACCCTTTAATTTACTTTTTCCTAACGGAAGGCAGCTTCTCAGCTTGCTTCGAGACAAGATTTCCTGGAGTTTATTTAATTCTCCATCCTTTGGGAGAAAATGCTCTGATGCATGTGGTTTCCCCCCCAAAAAAAAACATTTTTTCAACTAAAACCATTTCCTGAGTCTTGAGCTACATCTGTCATGAGCTGTCAACATCCAATGAACTATTAGTACCCAGAAACTGCAATTTTGGCCACCTCAGTGTGCAGATGAGTTAAATTTCAGGGTTTTTGTTAATGCTGTGGCAAGTGGCAGGCAGATGCAGAAGTCTTGGGGTCAGTTTTAAAAACAAATATTCTAATTTCTCTATAATTCATTTAT